TGCACTGGGGTCCACATATTTAGTACTTAGGGGCTTAAACAGTTTCGGTTCGATTTAGACAATTTTTGGCCACAAGGTGGCATACTTTAATCGCATTATTCACGCAATTCAAGTTTTATCCCGATACAGTCATTGTTGCCTAATTTGTATAGTGGAAAGTGAAAGAATCAGATGGAATTTAAAATGGTGTTATATGGGAAGTAGGCGGAGTTGTAGTCTGATTTCGCCCATTTTCGCACTATGACATAGAAACATGAAAAGAACGTTATGCACCGAATTTGGTTGAAATCGGTTGAGCAGATCCCAAGATATGGGTTTTCACCTAAAAGTGGGCTGTGCCACGCCCACTGTCTAATTTTGAACGCGGTTCCTATAAAGTCATCTCATACCATCCCAGAGATAAAATTTAATGTCTCTGGCGTGCTTAGTGCTTGATTTATCGCGCTTTTAGTAGTTTTTAACAGTACCGTTATATGGGGAGTGGGCGGAGTTGCCACCCGATTTCAACTATTTGCACACCGTCAATAGAAGTGCTAAAAACATTTGCTTCCAGTGAATTTTGTTATTATGGCATTGGCGGTTTAGGAGATATGCACAATAAACCTATTAGAGGCGGGACCACGCCCACTTAAAAAAACAAAATTTAACTGCAGATGCGATAATGTGATCCTGTGTACCAAATAACAGTCTTGTATCTTATTGCGGAGCTTAGTTATGGCAATTTATGTTTTTGATTAATGGCGTTTTGTGCGCGTGGCAGTGGTCCGATTACGCCCATCTGCAATACCAACAGTCTCACGGTACCAAGAAACATGTCTAGCAAGTTTCATAAAGATATCTCAATTTTTACTCAAGTTAGAGCTTGCACGGACGGACGGACAGACAATCACCCGGATTTCAACTCGTCTCTTCATCCTGATCATTTATATATATACCTATAACCCTATATCTAACTCGATTAGTTTTAGGTGATACAAACAACCGTTAGGTGAACAAAACTATTATACTCTGTAGCAACAGGTTGCGAGAGTATAAAAATATAATTATATAATAAAATATGAAAAGAAATTTTCACTTGATTTCATCTCCTCCTCTTAATGGCTCTGCATACGTCTTTCCCAAATCAGTAGATATTTCTGAATTTAAAAATGCAAATGGAAATCAACTAAATATATAGTTTTATTTGAAACTTAATTATTTTACGTATGTACCTATGTACATATAATATGTATATCATTTTACTTATTATTTGACTGTCAGTGGTGACAGTACTAAAGCATTCAGCTATTTCCTTCTTACTCATAATATTGAACAAGTGTAAATGCACTATATATCGAAAATGTATTTTNGTTGAAATGGTCCCTGACTACCAAAATTTGACTATTTCCTAATTTATTGGTGATTAATGGATCATCTTAATCAACGCCTATTTGCTCAACTGGTGCACGCAAATTGTACTCTTTCATCTGGCCATGACTCCTGGACTTTGATCCTTTAACCACAATTCACTTAGCATATTTCACAATTCTCACTATAGCTGATTGACGACAACCAATCCAATACAACCTTTGCTTCAATTTCTCTAAGGTTTTCGTGATTCTCAAGTGCCTTCCTCTTGGACCTTTGTTCTGCACTTTAAGAACTTCAAGAATTTTAACCTTTGGAACAGCCATAAGTGGTCGGTAGGTTTGCCCATTTTCGCCTTCCTCCTCGATGCAAGCAGCCACACACCAACTTTAAACTGCTCCGCTCTGCCCAACATGCTTAAGCGACTGAGCTTTCTGAATTTATTTCTTCACTCATTGTACATTGGCTCGACTCCACTGCATGCATTACACCTTCCAATTCTAGGCATTCTTGCAAAGAGTCATCCGTTTTAAGTTTAATTTTATCCTGCTATTCCAAATGTGAGGACACCAGTGCTTGTATACAAGCTTTTTGCTTTTCTGACTGTGAGGACGCTTGTGCTCGTATACACGCTTTTTGCTTTTCTGACTGTGATGTGCCAACATTTGTCATAACACCTCTACTATTTACGTGCGATATACGTGCTTTCTGCTCTTTCCCGTGTGTTCATATTTGTGCTGACATTTGCGATATTGCAGCGAAAATCATTATAATTCCACAATCTTTGACGAACATTAAACCTTTTCTTCTCCTCTAATTTCAATTGAAACACATATTCGTCAAGATTAATGTTTTCTGCTTCCATGGCCTCTCATAAGCGTTATCGTACTTCGGACTTTACTCTATTTGTTGCTAAGCCACGGTTTTTAAGCTCCTTTTTCAGTTGTGGTATCTTCAAATCGTTAAACTTTGCCATTTTAAAACAATACTATTATTGGGAACTTATCTGACAATCCCACTTCTGAAATCAATGTAACGGATTTCTCGATAAATGGTTTACCTTGTAATTCACTCTTGAGTTCGATCACTGGATTGTTAAATAAAAGTCCCAATTTAATGGCTATACACTTATCTTTACTTTTAATTCCAACAACTTAACACTTATTGCTCGTTATTCGAGCTTACAACTTCTTGCTTATGTCTCAATTGCTCCATGTGCTGTGTTGTAAAATTTATAACTTCAAGAAGTTTTTAATTAAATATTCAAATATTTTCGATTATTAAAACTCTAAAATAATTAATTACATTTACTAAGTATATCGCTGTGAGTGATTTAAAATTTTTTAATGTACATATTACTTACTAATTAGTACATTGTTTGGATTATTATTATGTTGTTCATGAATTGTATCCGATATATCGATAAATCATCTACCTGTAACATACTCTTGAGTTCTATCACTAGATTGTTAAATTAAAGTCCCAATTTAACGACTATCCACTTATCTTTACTTTTATTTCCAACAACTTAACACTTATTGCTCGATATTCGAGTTTACAACTTATTGATTATAGCTTAATTGCTTTTTACACGGCAGCACTCTAATTAGAACTGTGTATGCTGCACAATCCGGCAGCCCTTACATAGTAAATTTTTAACAAAAGGGAACATTTTAGCAACAGAGACTTGCTTTGATA